GTAGGACGTGGAACGTTTTTATTTCCACCGAAGTAGTACTATAACCATCGACCATATTTTCGTTCGCATTTCAGTTTCTTAGAGTCGAATTTTACGATATATAGAGATGAGCAAACCTAAAATGTGGACTGAGCCCATTTTTTTTTATTCACCAGGATGTTTGTTTGCTCCATCGCAATCCGCACCTTTCCTATGGGTACGTGGAAATCCGCTCCTGTTGTAACCCAAATAGGAACCAGTCCCTTCTTCGTAAGGTCTCATTTAGACCCTTATTTCGCAGAACGTACTGTTTCCGACATGGCGCTCCGGCTGCAGGCTATTGCCTAGGCCGGGCCGTGTCTCCTGGCGTTTTGACGACTTAATTACCGCATTATGGAGTCCCCCCCTCCCTCTTCTCTGTTCCACTCGCCTCCTGGAAATACCTGCTGGTCCCGCCCCGCCGCGTACGTGTGAACTATTAACGCTTTTAGTGGCCGTGCAGTGTGGAGCGGCCAAGGAGCGGCGCTCAGCGTTTGGTCCAGATCAGTCGTTAGCCGCTCGTTGCACAACTCCGCGCTGCCGAAATGTGGGGTAGTAGATATCCTGCGTGAGTGGCGGCACCGCAGCTCAGCGCAGCTCAGCGCAGCTCGGCCCAGCTCGGCGCGTCCCTTCACGATATTGCGTCACGCCCCGCCACGCCCCGTGGCCGCTCTTCGGTAGCAGACGCGGCACGCGGCGCGCGCCATGTGCCGTTTCGGGAAAGGTGTTCCATTTTCCCTTGACCGCCACCAGTGCGCGTGGTCGGGGGGGGCGGAGCGCGGAAGCACGAGGCGTAAGGGGAGAGGGGAAGGAGAGCCGCTCAGCTCCCCGATGGTCTGAGAGGCTGGAGGCTCTGCTGCCCAGCCCAGTGCCAGGCCCAGGCCACACCCTCTAAATCCCTTGCCGAGGTTTTTGTTTGCTAATATGCGCTAATATGTAATTTTAAGAAACGGTACGGTGACAGCTAAACCGTTATCAGGTAGCAACAAATTCTTCTATATTACGTACTTTATGGTGATATATCCTTTCCTTAGCAACAAAATATTTTTGTTGATAACAGCCAAAACAAAAAAGGTAAGGTTCCTCCCGGTTGTCCTGACCACCCGAAAATTCTTCGTAGGGGCAGAGCCGCAACTGTTTTGTAATATATTCTTTGAATGCTTTTAAAAGTCAACAGTTATCCTAAATACACTGATCTCGAACACTGATAATTTTTTTGCAAAGGATCCGTTCGCATTGTGAAGGATTCGGCTGCTTTTTGTCGGCCAAACGCAGGAATTTTTTTCGAAATTGCGAAGGATTTTCTTCGCATTACAAATTAGGAAAATCGTCCGCTATCGGTTCGCAATAATTATTGCAAAACAGCCGCAATCGCTCGCAAATATCCTTACAGTGTATAAGTGAATACGTTCGCCTTATCCCGCCCCTCCCCGCCACGCCGGGTTACGTTCGGTGGACCTCATTAGGCTCGTTACCCGTCCGCGTCGCTGTGCGGGCCCCGGCGGGCCGAGGGGCAGGGGCAGGCCCCCGGGCCCCTTCACCCGCCGGCAACACATTAACCATATTATCGTCTGCAGATGAAGCCACGTCGGTGCAATTAAAATATATCGGTTCATTCTAATTTCTCGCATTTTTGGACCAGCTTTGGATACGGATACATTTTTTGACACATTAAGCTACTCTGTAAAAATGATTATAAAGTATTGCTTCATGATAAGAAATATTGATTGAA